AAAAAAAAGAAGATACCTTGAGTTTTGCCCAGTTTTCCCAGTCATCTTGATCAAAAGCATCCTCAATGGAAACTACAGGATACTCCTTGATGAAGTCATGGTAAAGTGCGGCAAGTTGGTCTCCAGTCAACCACTAGAAAAATTTCACCATTTCAATCAAAAAGAGATGAGTTTTAAAAAGGAAATGAAAGCAAAACAGCCACCTTGCTAGGATCCGACTTGGGGTTTTTGAAATCCAAATCGTACTTGCCCTCTTTAAAGAACTCAGAAGCCGCAATGTCCATACCAATGGAAATCTACAAACGTACAACAATGAACGCTTGATGAAAAAAGCTCAGATTGAAACATTAAAAACGGCATTTGATTTACCTTCCCAGTATACCCAGCGAGATCAATAGCTGTCTTCAAGAGATCAAGTCCTTCCTTATTATCCTGGATGTTGGGAGCGAAACCACCCTCATCTCCTACGGCGGTCGCATCAAGTCCGTATCTGTGAGGCATAGATTGTAAGCAAAACACAAAGATAATTGAATGTCATATAACACCTCTTCTTGATTTCGGCTTTCAGATGATGATAGGTCTCTGATCCCATTCGCATGGCTTCAGAGAAACTCGTGGCACCAACTGGCAAAATCATGAACTCCTTAGAAAAAATTCTTGGATGGTCGCTTGACAACAAGAGTCCAAAGCGTTACCTGCATGGCTAGCTTGTTTCCAGCATGAGAGCCTCCATTAATAACGTTGAAGGCCGGTACAGGTAGACAAACCTGAACAAAAGTAGGAGTACTTGAAGCTAAGAAACTTATCAATTTTTTAAAAAAAGACAGCCATCTGCATTAACAGCAGAAATAATCATGCTGCTTACCTTACTAACACCAGCTAGTTCAGCAAGATACTTGTATAGTGGCATTCCTTTGTGGACAGCGCCAGCCTTTGCAACAGCCAGAGAAACGCCCAAGATAGCATTAGCGCCAAGATTCGACTTATTCTCAGTTCCGTCTAAAGCCAACATGAATTGGTCGATGTCCCGCTGCTGAGTCACGCAGAAGTTCTAAATCAAAGTGTTTGGGTCAAAAACGTATTAAATCCACAACTGACAAACCTTGGCGATAAGAGCCGGAGCAATTTTCTCATTGATATTGGCAACCGCCTTTAGCACACCTTTTCCATGATGCACCTTCTTGTCTTTGTCACGAAGCTCCAACGCCTCATGCACCCCAGTCGAGGCTCCCGAAGGAACAGCTGCACGAAAAACGCCTAAATCTCCAAACATTTGAAGACCTTAAGCATTGAACTTTTTACGGATGTAATGTGAACAGATATCTTATTCATTTCTGCTGCTACCAGTAAATAACTGCTCATTTATTGCAAAATATTTCTTCTTTCAGAATATTTCAAATGTTTGGAATTTTTTCTTTTTTGGCACAGGGAGCAGCGAACAGTTGTGTCTAGTTCCTAGATTATCCGATTACATTGTAGACACGACAAACAGTCATTAAAAAGGGTGCATACGAACGCAATAAACAGGTTTACACGAAACTTTGCAGTTTCATCCTCCTTTCTTCGAAAAAATAAAGATAACGTGGTTCAGAGCTAGCAAATTCCTATATCCACCTACCTTTGTCTGTGTAGAGGTCAACTTCAACGGTGGGATTGCCGCGAGAATCATAGATCTGGCGAGCGTGAATCTTTGTGATCGGCATGCCTGCAAACGACTTCATTAAAAATTCAGTCCTATTGCTCTTTCTGGACGAGTAGACAATCACGGACCGGACGACAGCGACAACTCTATTACACATACTCAATTACAGCAGGATAAATGTGTTGTAACACACACAATACGATCTCTCAAACCAATGGAGAGACTCGCTATAACTCAAAATGACATAATTCCAAGGCTACATATAGTCTCTTCAAAAACCAGATAAAAGAGGTGAAAAATGAGAGGCCACTGCAACTTAATTACAAATCTGCCGATTTTGTGGTAGAAGTCTGTTATTAGCGTGAGTCAAAAGCAGAGAGAACTTTTCAGCCTTTCTACAAACCAAACACCTTTGACCTTCGTAATTTTTTTTCTTGGCCTCTACCCTCTAATACATATCAAATTGCGGAGTTAGTATCCGTAAGTTTGAAAAAATGGTAGATGAATACAAGTAATCTATGAAAACACTTTCGACTTAGCGCTAGTTGATAAAAAAATTAAAGGAAGCTTAGAAAAGAAGCTGTCTATTTCCTTAAAACTCTGAAAGCACAGAGGAGTACATATGCACAAAAAGTCTTTCTAATGTCCTAACTTTCCAGGATTTTGGCGAATAATGCGGCG